CCTAACAGTTTGTGGAACACTACTGTCTTCCATCGTATAGACTGAGAAACAACCTGAGCATAATTCACTGTTTTCTGTCCTTAAGCCAATTTGTTATTCAGTTTGCAACTGACGCCCTTATACATTACGTGACACTTTGTTGAACATTTCCTTAAAATCCATGTTAACAATATCCATTGTATCCATCAATAAACCTTCTGTTACTTTATCTGAGATAGAGACACCCATGCATAACAATCTAGAAGATAATCAAAATAAACTGTGCAATGTCTTTCCTCAGTCTACACTCCTCTCTCTGATCCTCATGAATGTTTAAGAAGAGGCAGTGGCCTAGTGGTATTATTGCCAGACTGGTAATCCAGTTAATCTTCTGGGGGCCTGAGTTTTAATCTTGCCTCAGCAGATGGTGGAATTTGAATTCAATAAATATCTGGAATTAAGAATCTAATGATGACCATGAATCGATTGTCAGGAAAAACCCATCTGATTCATTAATGTCTTTGAGGGAAGGAAACTGCCATGCTTACCTGATCTGGCCTACTTGTGACTCCAGACCCACAGCAATGTGGCTGATTCTTAACCACCCTTTGGGAAATTAGGGATTGGTAATAAATGCTGGGCCAACCAGCCCTGCCCTCATCCTGCCGATGAATTTTTAAAAAGTTTACATTTAAACAATGACTCAAATTGGGAATAGTAGATTTTGCATGGAGTGATTCCAGATGCTTCTGAGAGATGTTTAAAAGTGCTAAAATGGAAATTCTTTCTATCCATCTTTCAATCCTTTATTTTCCCTTCCTCTTTCCCTTCTTTCTTCTTTGTTTTCTTTTCCACCTTGCACTATTCATAAGAGACCATTTCCTTCAACTTTTATTGAACTGCACCTGAAATGTTTACTCTCAGAAGTGGATTTAACTGGGATGTCTCTACTCTAAAATGAAATACTGGCCAAATGAAATGGTTGAAGCCCTCCAATATACTGGGAGCTTTTGCAAATTTGGGCTTGAAAAGCCATTGATGCATGTTAGGAGCTCAAGCTGTTGACCTTTGCATCTGAAATTCTGTGATATATTTCTAATGTATGAAGCTCATTAATGACAATGTGAATTTCTATAATATCTGGGAATGGGCATTCTTACCAAGCTTAAAAGCAGTTTGTTGTGTAATTAGTCAGCAGGAACTAAGGAAGTGCAATCTATGAAATGGAAATAATTATGTGATTCCAATTAATTTGCTAAACTGTGTGCAAAGAAGAGTTAACTTAAACTGACTTTGTTACTGAACTTCAAACAATAACTAATCTGATGCATGTGAGAACAGAACAGAGGCAGCATAAGCATCAGGAAACAAGGGAAAAAAGTGGTGGGAGCACAAGAGAGAGTGCTGACTCGATAGTCATTTTTCAGAGTTTGTTTCTGTTATATTTAGTTACTCTAATGAATCGAAACATGGCAGGGATCCTCAGCTTGGTCGAGTGCCCATCCTTTGAAGTGTGGACGCTGCAGGATATTTTTTGTGTCCTGGCCAGGTAACTCTGAGTGAAATCTTGTGGAGGCAGTGGTGGGTGTGGTCTCAGCTGCTGGCTAGAGAGATGGCAGACCTCCGTGCCACCTCCTTTTGTGAAGTCTTGCCAGAACCAATACCACTCTGTCATTTAACAGGTCAGCATCAGGCTTCCCCCAGCATCAAAGACCATTTTGTGTGTGGTGTTGGTGGTGGTGAAAGTACTGCCCTCCAAAAGCCAATCAGAGCAAGTGGCTCAGTGGTTAGCACTGCTTCCTCACAGCGCCAGGGACCGGGGTTCGATTCCACTCTCAGCTGACTGTGTGGAGTTTGCACATTCTCCATGTGTCTGTGTGGGTTTCCTCCCACAATCCAAAGATGTTCAGGCCAGGTGGATTGGCCATGCTAAATTGCCCGTAGCGTCCAGGGATGTGTAGATTAGGGGGATGGGTCTGGGTCAGATGCTTTCAGCGTCGGTGTGGACTTGTTGGGCCGAAGGGCCTGTTTCCACACTGTAGGGATTCTATTCTATTCTAAAAAAGCTGTACCTCATCTGTACTCAACAGCGCCACTGGGAAATCGGTGGCTTCTGCTAGTATGACATCCACCTGCAATCTCAGATTGAGAAGGACCAAGACAATGAAAGGTGACAGGAAGGGGGTGGTAGGGGAGGGTCTCAGCTGCAATAGCAGGTGAGCGGTTTACACCCTTCACTACCCACACCCCCTTCTCTTTCTCCTTTCCCGATAAAGACACCCTCAATCTGGCATCAAGTGTCCTTGAACCATAGATTGCTGTGGGTCACACTCCTCAAATGGCTATTCCCCAATTATTGCAGGGTTAACACCAGTGGATGTAGACCTGGGATGACATTAACTACACAATTAAGGGCCTTAATTAACAGAGGTGTGGCACCACCCACAGCCCTTCGCATCTTGAACTTAATCCAATTGGCGGTGGGAATGTGTCACAGTCTTATCATCATAGAATCCTTACAGTGTGGGAACAGGGCCTTTGGCCCAACAAGTCCACACCAACCCTCGGAGCATCCCACCCAGACCCATCCCCCTATAACCCACCTAATCTACACATCCCTGAACAGTATGGGCAATTTACCATGGCCAATCCACCTAGCCTGCGCACCTTTGGACTGTGGGAGGAAACCGGAGCACCCGGAGGAAACCCACACAGACACGGGGAAAATGTGCAAGCTCCAAACAGACAGTCGCCCGAGGGTGGAATCAAACCCGGGTCCCTGGTGCTGTGAGGCAGCAGTGCTGACCACTGAGCCACCGTACCACCCTTATCTACCTCCATCCCACCACCAAAGTGTCCAGAGGGCACACTATTCCACCCTACGTGTGAACTTGTCAGCTGGAAGAGCTGAAATTCCTAAAAGTAGGAGCTCAAGTAGCAGCTGGTGCAATTGCATCTTCAAGGCTGATACTGACATGGATACCATGTTTCTGGATGTGGTGACTCTGAAGCTGAACATAGTTGTAGAGACCAGAACTGGAGGAACATAGTTTAAAAATAAGAGGTCTCCAATTTTCTGACCCTGATAAAAAAACAATTCACACAACCAATCAAAATACACCTGCCTTCTTTTATAAAGCATCATAAATGATAATAATATATTACACATTCTCACCACAGGCTGTGCTAAACTCTTGACTGAAAAGAGAGTCAAAAGGCATTGGGGCTAGCAGGAAAATTGGAGCTGAAGTTACAATCAAATCTGATTGAGTGGCAAAGCTTCGAATACCTTATACCTGCTTCTAATTTGTACGTTTGTACTTTTGAGTGTTCAGAGTTAGAGAGAATGAATGCACATTAAGGAAGATCAGCAAGATAGTGCAGCAGTTCCCTGAGTATGTTTCTTTAAGTAGACCACGTGCTCCCGCTGTTGTATTGAGTGCTCCAGTTCATTTAGCTAACTGCAGATTCTAGAGACCAAACTTTCCAACTTCAGAATGTGGAAGCACCACATTTCCTCACCACCAACATATGTACCCAGGATAAATTCAGTACTTATCCAAGTGTTTTGACTATAGTGCATGGTGTATACCTGAACTTTCAACATTGACTTCTAGTGGGACAGAAACTGTCCCTTTGAGAATTAAAGCATGCACTGCCCTGTGTGTCAAATAACATGCTGAATAAACATGAATTTCTCCAGTCAATGAGTTCCTGATACTCTCTCCGCAGGCAAAAAAATGGGACCATTCAGACCAGCCCTGGAATGTTACCTCTCAGAACTTCAAGTGGAATTTCTGTGCTCATTGTACGTAAACAGGTTTGTTTCCCATATGTGTAACATACACACCTTAAAACAGTCGCCATCAACAGCTGTATTTAAATGGCAGATGTGACATATGGAAATCCAGCGCTTATGTAACAGCACCACACGTCTGCTATTAACCAAAAGACACAGTCTTGAAGTAATCTGCTCCTGTTATTGTTATTCTCTTTGATTCTGGATGGCCTGCCTCAGAGTTTGGAACGGGTTGGTCTATATAGTTCAAAGCGTAACAAACATTGCCAGCAGCTTTGGTAAGCTTTTAAGGTTAATTGAAGGCTCCTACGTTGCCAACAAGGGACTGTACATACAGGAAGATTTTTATAACTTTACAGCCTGTGGTTATTAATTTATTAAATTCAAGGGATGTAATAGCAGAACCTGCATGGCTGTAATTTCCAATCAAATGTCCCCTCTAAATTTTGCTTCCTATTGACAACTCAAGATCTAAGATTCAATCCTGTTTATTAACCTCTGATCAGTGTACCCTCACTGCAGCAACACATTATCCCAGATCAACCATGAACTAATTGAGTGGAGGAGCAGACGCAATGTGCCAAACAGCCTAATTCTGATCCTATGTCTCATTTTCTCAGAGCACAGGATTGAGACTGTAGTGATTGGATCGAGGTTGGACAGGTAGAGCTTGTTGAATGTAAGATACCTGATTGGGGCAGTTAACCTGGTCTGATCAGGGAGTCCTGACTGACAGATATAAACAGGAGTCTCAGAGTCTACTCACTCTATGGACTGGCTCTGATCTAGCTGGTCAGAGGTCATGTCCTGTGCACATAATAAATAAAGGATGACTTGGTGATGGGATACCAGCCTCAGTGCAGTTATTTTGGAAACATACTCACCCTCTGACCTTTTGGAATTAAGGGCTGACTCATGCACATTGGGAGCCTTAACACTCTCTGAATTTTTTTTCCCACCTCCAAGTTACGATGAATGAGTACGAAATCCCTCAGATCCAACCTGCTCCAGGAGCCTTCTCGGGAGTTTGCCCATCTGGTGGGCACTATTGTGGTGCAAATGCTATTTTGTGGACACTATATAACAATTCAATTTAGTACAATGAACATCAATTGTAAAGAATTTTGTTTTTGATGAAAAAAACGATAAAACAATTCAACAGGATAAATGTGACACTTCAGATTGGCACTAGTTTTATAAATCTGAATTTAAACCAACTTACCACCTCAAAACACAGCAGAAAGTGACACTGGCTGTGAGGATAATACATATTGCTGTTAGCACAGCTCTTGTAGGAAGCCCTGCAATAATAAATCACAATCACTTATTCCTTCATCCACAACACTTCATTTGTTTGCTATAATTGATTGCTAGTTCCTTTTGTTCATAACACAGGTATTAAAAATTTCTGTTACATCCTTCAGTACTGCAAGACACTAGAGCACTACTTAAAGTGTTATTAACTTATCCATTGTCCATTCAATCTAGAAAACATAAAAGACACTTCTGCCTGTGATTTTATCCCATAAACCAGTAATTCTTAAGCTTGTAATGTTCAAATGAAATTCCCAGACTCATTATAATCTACTTCCCTCACAAGAAACACCAACAGAAATTGATATATTCTTGCACATCCTGGAAAAGAAGGAAAACAACACAAAACAAAATCTTTTTTGGCCCCAACTGGCCATGAATGAACTTGCTAACATTGGTGAATAAGGCCATTAACCTTACACCCATTATTCTCATATTGGCCTGTGGTTCACTTTCAAATCACAATACTATCATCAGGACGGGCTGATCTAAATGATAAAACAGGAAACAACCAGCTTTGAGTAGGTGTCATAGCATTTCACATTGATATAACAGGTTTTCTGGTTAGTTTCTGACACCTATTTTTACTAACTCACCCTTCCCTGAAACTGGAATTATCTGTATTGCACTGAATTTGTTTTGGACAAAGTGGTAAAACAATGAAAGTGAGGGATATGCAAGAGGTCAGCATAAAAGAAGCACAAAAGTCTTTGACTGCTCTTGAGCTAGAAGAGGTTACAGAGACTGAGAGGGACAAAAACATGGAAGAATTTCTAAAAATGGGTGCTGATTTTTAAAGAAGTTTAAGTTTGTGGAAATAAGGGATATGTCTTTACTGCTGATATTAGCTTATGCTGTGGGACATCAGTTAGCTCAGTTTGTTGGATGGCTGGTTTGCAAAGCAGAGCATGTTAACAGCGTGTAACAATTCCCACACTGGCTGAGGGTTACAATTGAAGGACTCTCCTCCTCAAACTCTCCCCCTGCCTGAGTTATGCTGATTCTCAAAATAAATGACCACCATTTGTCGCTGTCTAATGAGAGAACAGTATGTGGTCTGTTGGGACTGTACCTTAACGGACTGTGCTGTGACTTTGAATTCTTCCCCTTTAACTGCAATTAATAAGGGCTAGATTTTACCCCAAATAACATAAGCAAAGAACATGTCTATCAATCTCTAGAGTTACAGCCTCTCACCATCTCCCTATTTCATGTCTTTGGTACTGGACTGTAGTAACTCAGTACTTGGACCCAATTATGCACATTAGTGTCTGATTGATTTAGTATCTCTCAAAGTGCCGTTGTATTATCACTGCAAACTACAAGTCTAATATTGTAGCTGTCTGTTTAAATATTTTTCTGCACTTCAGAATAATTTCAGCATCACCAGTGTTCTATTGTACAATGTCTCCAGTCAATAGCCTGCAACTTTAAACAGCAGGATGTTCATCGACTCAGTCATTTATAATTATTGCACAGACTGTTTCCCTTTGGAGAATTAATAATAGAGGTGGAATTTTACAACAATCAAACAGATTTTGTGATCAATTTTCCACAATAGCCCACAAATGACCAGATATATTAAATTCAGTTTTTCAACTTGCCCTGATGGGAGTTGAAATCTGAATTGCTAGTCCAGCACATTTCTTGAAGTATACAATTATCATGATGCTTTTAAATTCTACCAATGTGCAATTCTTTTGACCACATCATGAATACAGTCCTGACATGCTGACATCTGCTCCCTGATATATCAAAAATTCTCAGTGAACTGTTCCAGGGACTCTCAGTGCAATCAACAAGTTACCATCCTGATGAGATAGTAGGAACTGCAGACGCTGGAGAGTCCGAGATAACAAGGTGTAGAGCTGGATGAACACAGCAGGCCAAGCAGCATCATAGGAGCAGGAAGGCTGACGTTTCGGGCCTAGACCCTTCATCAGAAATGGGGGAGGGGAAGGGGGTTCTGAAATAAATAGGGAGAGAGTGGGAGGCGGATAGAAGAGGGATAGAGGAGAGGGAAACAAACAGGTCGAAGAGGCAGGGATGGAGCCAGTAAAGGTGAGTGTAGGTGGGGAGTTAGGGAGGGGATAGGTCAGTCCAGGGAGGACGGACAGGTCAAGGGGGCGGGATGAGGTTAGTAGGTAGGAGATGAGACTGACTGTTAGAATTGACTAAGTTGGGAACTTAAATGCTTAAAAATTAAGCCCTTATTTTCAATCAATAAAACAAATTCAGTAGACACTGGAGGAAGTAGCCTCGCCATTGAATTCTGTTCTTTTACATCAGTCAATTTATGCTGACTTGAATTCACATTTTTATCCTCATTTTTGTTCTTCTGCCATCTCCAGAAGGTCTTAAATATTGTTCATTCAAAGGTGCACAAACATTACTTCCCTCGTTTTTCTCTCTCTTGTTATAGTATTCTCTTGAATAGCATGAGATTTCCATGATGTGCAGGTTAGGTGGGTTGGCTATGCTAAATTGCCCCATAGTGTCCAGGGGTGTGTAGGCTAAGTGGGTTAGCCATTGCACAGGCAGGGTGATGGGGTGTGGGTCTGGTTGGTAGGCTGTTTGGAAGATCGGTGAGACTTGATGGGTCGAACGGCCTCTGACTGCACCATAGGGATTCTGTGATTCCAAAGCTGAACTCAGATATTTCTTTCTTCTGCCAACTTTCAACTTTCCGCCCTGGATTTTCATCCCCGAGGGGTGAGATCAGTAATAGGAAGGCTCCCGGAAACAGCCTGCCCACCTCAGGTGTCTAAGTACCCACAAGAATGGTTGGTACATTGTTGGGCAGAGTGTAATATACCTGCAAATCTTATAAATGACCTGACTGAAGAGATGGAAAGTATGGTTGGCTAATTTGCTTTTGATAAAAAGGTAGTTAGAGAAACAAATTGTGAGGAGGATGCGAAAAGGTCTAGAGTGTTAAGTGTGATGTGGGTAAATGTAAAATTGTCCATTTGACTGAAAGGACAAAAATTAGGCATATTATCCAAGTGGTGAGAGATTACAGACCTGTGAGATGCAGAGGTTCAGCATGGTATGGATGTACAGCAAATAATTCGGAAAGTCAACGGTATGTTATAATTTATTATGAGGGCATTGAATGTGAAAGTACAGAGGTTATGCTTCAGTTATACAGGAAAGTTATGAGACACCCAGAGTACAGTATTGTCCACCCTATTTAACAAAGGATCTAAATTTGTTGGAAGCAGCTTAGGGTGGGTTTTCTTATGAAGAAAGGTTGGACAGGAACAAAAACAGAAGTTGCTGGAAAAGCTCAGCAGGTCTGGCAGCATCCGTGAAGAAAAAATCAGAGTTAACGTTTTGGGTCTGGTGACCCTTCCTCAGAAAGGTTGGACTCAGGCTAGGCTTAGATCCGCTGGAGGTTAGAAGAGTAGGACATCACTTGATTGAAACATACAAGATCCTGTTGGGTCCTTGACAGAGTGAAGTTAGAGAAAATGTTTCCTGTTGTGTGAGAATCTATAAACTAGGGGTCACTTTTTCAAAACAAAGGGCCACCCATTTAAAACAGAGATGAAGTGATTTTTTTTAACAGAGGGTCACTTTATCTTTGGAAATCTCGTCCTGAAAAGGTGGTGGAAATAAGGACTACAGAGGTAGATTGATTCTTGGTAAATATGGGGGTAAAAGGTTATCAAAGTAAGGTGGAATGGCAAAAATTTGAGGTTGCAGTCAGATCAACCATGATCTTATTAAAAAGCAGAACAGGTTTGAGGGGCTGACTAGCCTACTTGAACTCCTTGGTCATGTGTAGGTCAGGATGGTCTGTGACGTGAAGGGAAACATGGGTGTTCTCATGCATCTGCTACCCTTGTTCTCCTTCAAATTTGGATGGTGCTATCCAAGGACCCTTGGTGAGTTGCTGCAATGCATCTTGTAGATTGTAAACACGGCTGCCACTATACAGCAGTGACAGTGAATGTTTAAGGTGGTTTTTGGGACACCAATTAAATGTATATTACTGTTTAATTTGGATATTGTCGATTATTTAAAGCCTTGTTGAAGCTGCACTCATCCAGGCAAATTGATGTATTCCATCACATTCATAACTTGTGTTTTGTTAGATGGTGGGCTTCACTGTAAAAATCATCTGACAGCTCTAGTTATCACCGTATTGTATGGCTGGTCCAGTTTTTCCCATTATTCTGCAATCACCAGTATTGTTGACATGAAACTAAAGACTCTACGAACTGAACTTATTCTTATGTAGTTTGGACTCTTGTTCCTCACAGTTTTCCCTTTTTATCCTCTCACAAGTCCGCTGCAGAACTGTGTAAATGAATATCTGTGTGTTTGGCATTAAAGGAGGATATAAACTGGGAAGGCGAAGGCCTGGTGGTATTATCACTGGATTATTAATCCAGAGACCCAGGTGATGTTCTGGGGACCTGGGTTCAAATCTAACCATGGCAGATGGTAGAATTTGAATTCAATAAAAATATGGAATTGAGAGTCTAATGATGGCCTTGAATCCAATGCCAATTGTTGCGAAAAACCCACCTGCTTCACTGATGTTCTTTAGGGAAGGAAACTGCCATCCTTACCTGGTCTGGCCTACATGAGACTCCAGACTCACAGCAATTTCATTGTGGGCAATAAATGCTGCCCTAGTTAGTGATGCCCACATCCCATCAATGAATAATAAAAATCTAATTTGCCATTTGTTTAAAAAATAGATTTGCTTGTAATAAATGTGTTATTTTTGAGTTTATTGAAAAGCCTCTTTTGTCAAAGCTCGCAGTAATAAAAAGAAACAAATTGACCATTTTTGGCGATTGAATAAGGTTTTTATACTTTTAGTGTGGCTTTTGGAACATTTGGACTTGATTTCCAATGCACTCCACCTGCCAGAGCTGTAATAAGTACAAGAGTTGAATTTTAGAGCTTGCCTTGATGCAAATATTGACTCAATACAGCAGATGTCCCACTACCTAGATGTCAGCCAGCAATTTCACTCATGGAAGTCATATTTCAATAGCCTCAGGATAGCTGACTTTGCAAACTCCAGTATTGGACATGCAGCCATGGACGATATCTTAATGGTAATGTTAATTGTGGTTGACTTTGAAGTGCTCTTTTAAAGTAAACTAATAAAGCATTCAGAAAGTATGATACTGCTACATGGTAGTGCATAAGAAGAAAATGTGATACCATTTCCCAGGGTACAAAGCAATAAGCAATAAGTGCAGTAGTGCCGGAAATGCTCACATCCTGAGAATTAGTTTTAAAACAAAATCCACTCATCAGTACAAAAGTTCTCGATCTCTGTTAAGATTGCTGGGGTAATGGTACTCAGTCATCTTCTGAGAGCAATAAAGCTGGACAAAAGAAAACTTTGGCTGGTAGAGTAGGAGAGCTCTTCAAATAACAGTTCCAATAAAAAGGAATAACAAAGCATTTTCAATGGGAAAGGAACAGGGAGCCAGAAGTTAATAAAATTCAACCTCCACATTTTGGTGGCCACCTTAATTTAAAGTACAAAAGAAATAAGAAATGACTGCCAGTGACAGACTAAAGTTTTTGTACAAAATAAGTTACATATTTTACCATTCACCACTTATGAAATAAAGGGGGCTTCAGATGGCCGGAAAGGCTAGAGATAATGGGATTGTTCTTTTTAGTGCAGAAAGATGAAGGAGAATGTCATTGAAGGCACTGAAAATCATGAAGAATTATAATGGCATAAATCAGCAGAAGCTGTTCGTACTGACTGAGGGGTTGGTAATCAGAAAACATAATTTAAGGTAATGGGTAAAAAATGATAAAATATGAAGAATCAATTTGCACAGTATGCTAATATGAACTCAAAACCATTGCCTGAAAGGGTGTTGGAAGAAGATCTACTAGTAAAAAAAAATTGCTACGTCCTTGAATGGGAGAAAATTATAAGGTAGGTTACAAGGTAAAGGACAGAAAAAGAGCTGACATAGGCACTATGGCAATAATAGCCTACTTTTATGATTCTGATTTAAGGACAAGAAATTATTGGTCCAATGCAAAATCTTAAAAACTGAGAACCAGACAAACAGCATGTTCAAGAGATAAAATACTTCCTTAGGAAACAGATCAGATTAGCCATGCTGCCAATCCTTGACAGATGGTGATTAATTTAATCACCTAAGATTTATCAGCAGCTTCCATCCTTTTAGAGAGCATCGATGATAGACTAATTGAGTATGTGATGCAAGGGAAATTGAATCATCTCAAGGATGGAGTCAAATTGTTATATACGTGACAAAATTCATTGGATAAGCTGCAAAAATAACAAATGATTTGGACTGTGTAGCCAGTAGAATCAGTCAATGGGACCACTTCTTAGGTATACAAAATTTGTATCATTGTGTGGTTTAGAGGGTAATTTTCATTCAAACGTTTGAATGTAGAAATTACAGCTTGATAGTATTATAACCAAAAAGAGTCAGGCAGGTAATCAGGGAAAACATTATTAATCATCAACAGTAAGGTAGGTGAATAGTTTGGGAGTCCAGGCAGGGCATCTGACTGGGGTAGATGGTGGGCCAAAGATAGATAAATGCAATTTATCTCAGTCTTCATGTCCTGATTCACCAAAGTCAGCATCTAAAACCTTTATGATTTATTTTTACACTCATATCTATAAACTGCTTTTGCAATGGAAGGATTGTACATGCTGATGCTTCATATTGAGCATTTCTTTTGAGCCTTATGGTAACTCTCATGTATACATATTAGATTCGTTAAGACTGTCGCTGAGTTTCAGTTTTTTTGACAATGTCTCCGATACCCAATCTTCACAAAAATAAGCTTCTCTATGGCATCATTCAACAACTCTGAAAGGCTTATTGCAAAGGTCACTTTAAAAATTGGAATGCAACTTTAACCCAGTCATTCTTTGATTTAGCATCTCAACATCAACTAAGTAAATATTATCCAACAGCCTGCTCAGATAAAAACTGAAAGAACTGTGGATGCTGTAAATCAGAAACAAAAACAGAAATCCGCTGAACTTTTCCAACAATTTCTGTTTTTGAGCCTGCTCAGATTTCTTGTGGAAGGGTGTCTGAACTGTATTATGCCTGCAAACTGGCATCAAAGACCTGATTCAAGACATATTGGAACAAATGTTTACAGAGGTGCTATTTTGCTCATAACCTAGTTTTTGGTTGGATTTTGATTTTTTTAGCAGAAGTTAGGAAAAATCCCAGCTTACTGAGTTGGCCTTAAGGAAAGCTATATTGATTGGCAGGATTTTCCTTCCGGGGGGGATGGGGCTAGTGAAGTTGCATGTTTAGCCAACAGCCCAGACATACACAGTTTGTCTAAAGAGGTGCATATAAAGGAAAACATTGCTTATTTAATAGGTTTTCATTCTTGGATGTATTTTGTCAATGTCTCAATGCATATTTGTACAAGATAAGGAACTGTCAACTTGATTGTTTCTATATAGTTAATATATTAAGAGTCTGGTTGATTCACACTTTCATAGGGTTCAAAGGTTTTTCAAAAGAAAGAGACAAATCATTGTTTTTGAAAGCTTTTCCACACTTGTCATTGTTGCTGTAGGATCTATTGGTTCTCTACAGAGCATACAGTGTCTGACAATATATGAACGGACTGAGTTTGCATAGAAATTTTGGAGGACCATTGGGGACAGCTGATGGCATGAAGTGATAGGTTGGCATGAGGTGTCTGAGCAGTCATTGAGGTGGGTATAGGGCATGCATTGGCATGGAAAGTAAAAAGGAGTGTTGGGGGTTGTGGGGCACTTAGGTTGGTGTGGGATGGTGGCATGGGTAAAAGCTTTTTTAAATTACCTGTCAGAAGGTCCCAGAGTCCAGGCTATGGTCATTGATTCCTCTGAGAGGCTGTCAACCACAAATCCATAAGAAGCTGCTTCAAATTCATTTAAATTATTAGGGTAAGGTGATTTTACCCCCAGTGGAAGGACCGGCAAGATTGAGAATGCAGTGTGCTGTCACATTTTGCACACTCTTCTCATACACTAGCAAAATTTGGGGTACAAGGAATCTCAGAATTGAGTCCCAGCCACTATTTTTAAAGGTCCACACAATCTCCCCAACTTTGCAAAAAAAATCCAGCCCGTTGTTGTCAAGCGTAATCCATATTGCAATTAGGTTAGTGACACAATGGTCTGTTACTTTTAACAGTGTTATCCCATATCATTGGTGTAAAAGCATTGTCTGACAGAATGAAAAATTTACCAGGAGACCAAGTCTATCAATGATGAAACCTTCATGGAAAACTCTGATAGATTCAATTTTGCATGCAGTATCTTGACTTTTTTTCAAGTAGTTATACAAAATGGGTTTTTGTTTATCTGTTGTTGTTTACAAATACAATGCTGACTTGGTTTATAGAAAAGAATCATTTTATGTTAGCATCTAAAACCCTGTGATTTCTACCCAAACTATCTGGACCAAACACAATTGTTCTTAGTAAAATGTAAATACATACATTGGTTTTCAACTGAAGTAAACTCAATTTCCCAATGTGTTTTCTTTGTCCAGTGTTGATAGGATGCTTCACACGTATACATGCCAGCATAATCTTCTCTCATTGGTGCTTTGAATTTGAGGCGATTTTCGATCAGTTCAATACCTTCTGGTAGTGAATCATTTTGTCTTAGAAAAGCATAAACAATTATTCAAAACACTTTAAAGTAAAGGTACTTGGCAAATACTTCATGTTGCAAATACGTTCTGTTGCAAAATATTTGTCATAAGTTTTGATATATATATTATGATTGCTGCTGCTGGAAAATTGATTTTCTTTCAATCTGTAAGGATTGGAGCAAGTGGGGAGCCTGCCATGGACTAAGATGAACTGGGTGGGAGGCTTTCCTCTGCCCTCTGTTTCAGATTTGAAAAAAAACCAATAATCCAGAAAAAATTCCTTCAGCCCTCACCTGTCACACCTCTTCACCCCCTTCACATACCCCATTCCCTTTCCATACCAACACATGCTACCTCATGTCCTGTTGCCACCCCTATGGTTCTTTATAGCCCTGTGCCAATTCATGCCCAGTTTCTCATCCCCATGACACTTTATGGTGCCTATACCAGCCTATCCCTCTCTGTCAACTTCCATATCTCTTTATTACCCTTTTGTTAATTTAGTGCCAAGTGATGCCAAGCCGTGTCTCCCCAACCACCAGTCTTTTCCCTCCACCTGCCATGCCAACTCACTGAGTATCCAATATGGGCAGGGTCCAGGATGCATGTAGAGAGGAATTATAACAAAGTTCCAAATGCCTTTAGATGACTTTATCATTTAATGAAAACACTTATTCTTAAAACAAAAAATTATTACATTTACATTCCTTTACATACATCACACATTATAACAACAAAAAAATCATTTGAATGTATATCCCTTTTCACAACATCCACTAGAATCCATAACCTCACTCAAAGATGCAAACTGACTTCCTTTAATGGCAGAAAAACTTCAACAAACAATGTTCCAGAATCATATTCAAAGGGAACCTTGCCTCTCCGAAAGGATACCCTGGCCGTACGGATGAATCCACAAAGTTCTGACCTTCTCCACTAAGATCTGAGCACTTTATCTTTCAGATACCCAGGTGACCAAATTCACACAGAAGTGCAACCAGCTGCTGATTTACAGCAGCCTCAACTAAGTTCACAAGTGCTAATCCTGACCCTTGCCCGTTCCTATACCATTGGCTCGAAAAGCAAAAAAAAATTATAGGTGCTATACTCAGGCCAGGACTTCAAATTTTTAAGCTCATTTTCACAATAATAGAGAGATTCACTGTCATTGCAAAAGTCCTGGCCTATCTGTTACATCAAATGTTCTGGGTTGAAGAGAAGTTCTGGTCGCTGCTACATGAAGGATATTATTATGTTGTAGAGAGTTCAGGTAAGTTTTAACAGGATGTTGCTGGGACTGGAGGGTTTGAGTTATAAGGAAAGGCTGGACAGGCTGGGAATCTTTTCACTGGAGCGGAGGAGGTTGAGGGGTGACTTTATAGAGGTATATAAAATCATGAGAGGCATAGATAAGGTGAATAGCAAGGGTTGTTTCCCTCGGATGGGGGAGTTTAAAACTAGGGGGCATGTCTTTAAGGTGAGAGGAGAAAGATTTAAAAGGGACCTAAAGGGCAACGTTTTCACAAAGTGGGTGATTTGTATGTGCAATAAGCTGCCAGAGAAAGTGATAGATGCAGGTATAGTTACAACATTTAAAAGACATTTGGACAGGTACATGAATAGGAAAGGTGTAGTGGAATATGGGCCAAATGCAGGCAAATGGGACTAGTTCAGTTTGGGAGACTTGGTTGGCATGGATGAGTTGGACCGAAGGGTCCATTTCCATGCAGTATGACTCTAAGATAATGAAAGTTTAAAAAAACCATTCAACCCATCATAGCTTTCTACCCATAGAAACACTATAATTCCCAAATCTAGCGTCTAAATAATTTTTACTTAATTCCAAAGATTTCTGGACATTAAAGGCATCAGGACATATGGGGAGACTGCCTGAGTATGGTGTTGAGAAAGAGATACAGCAGTGATTGTATTGAAAGGTGAAGCAGGCTTGATGGGTAAATAGGAGGCAAAGGCCTAGTGGTATTATTGCTGGACTGTTAATCCAGAGACCCAGGTAAAGTTCTGGGAGCCTGGGTTCGAATTCAACCACAGCAGCTGGTGGAATTTGAATTCAGAAATATCTGGAATTAAGAGTATCATGATGACCACAAATCCATTGCCTGTTGTCGGAAAAACTCATCTCGTTCACCAATGTCCTTTAGGGAAGGAAACTGACATCCTTACCTGGCCTGGCCTACATGTGACTCCAGACCAACAGCAATATGGTTGACTCTGAACTGCCCTCTGGGCAATTGGGATGGATAATAAATACTGTCCTAGCCAGTGATACCCTCACCCCATGAATGAATGAAGAAAAGAAAAGTCCTACTCCTATGTTCTATGTGTCCACATTTGTACATAATTCCAACTCCTAATTCTTTCTAAGAATCAATTTCAAATGTTACCCACTCTTTATGTGAAAAATAACTTCCAGAAAACAGACCTTTTGATAGCTTCTGCCTGTTTGTCCTTGTGCTTCAGTCACAACTTAATTTGAGATGGTAATCCAAATTTGACTATTGCATTACTTTAATCATATTCATTAAATCTAGGGACTGGTATTAGCACTTTAATTGTACAGCCAAAATTTCAGGGGCAAGCCTACCTCTGCTTGTTTGGCTCAGCTATCTTCAAATTTTTAGAAAATGCCTCTTTAATTAGTTTGAGTTAAGTCCTCCTTCTACCTCCAGGAGAAAGTTCATTTCTCAGAGATGTCAATGAATCAAAAGCCAACACACTCTGCACTCAGCTACCCCAAAGAAGTGACGGCTGCTGACGGTGATAAGATTGGAACATTGAGGTACAGCAAGGCGGGTCAAATTGAGTGATGGAGCAAGCTGGGAGGGTAGGGTGATTGTGTGGGGGAGAATCATTGGGGCAGATTAGCACAAAGGACTCTGGAATGATGCAGCCTCCTTGCACTGACCAATAGCCCGGAGGATGAAACCTCCCAGGCGACAGAGCTCTCCTGCCATGTGTTATGGATATTTTCTAATCAACATGTTTAGAAATGCTATTACACAGCTCTGGAGCAGGCTGGGCTGAGCCTGGGCCACCTGGATCAAAGGTAGGGACATTATCACTGCACTATAAGAGATGCCAAAAATGTGTCAAATTGATACAGTGATGGAATGAGGCCATTAGTTGTGGTACTAATTGCCAACTTTAGGGCCTCAATTGGCCATTGTTGGGCCCAAAGATCATGGGTTCAAATCACACCGCAGAAATTTGAGTATATAAGGCCTGCCAATTCAGTGCATTATTTTGGGAGTGCTGCACTAATGGATGTTAAACCAAAGGGTCTGAAGAAGGGTCTAGGCCCGAAAGGTCAGCCTTCCTGCTCCTCTGATGCTGCTTGGCCTGCTGTGTTCATCCAGCTCTACACCTTGTTATCTCTTAAACCAAAGCCTGTCTGTCTCCTCAAGTAGAAATTAAAACACCCCACTATATTATCAATGAAGAGTAGAAGAGTTCTCCTATTGACTTGATCAACACTTATTCCACAATCAACTGCTAAAGCAGACTATACAGCTGTTCCTTGATCTTTATGGGAGTTGGCTATGCAGGAACTGGCTGCCACAGTTCCTCCATTCTTCCCCGATAATTAATTGGTTAGGAAGTGCTCTGGAACATCCTAAGGTCATGAAAGACCATTTATAAATATAAATAATGTTGTCTTTCAATCTTTTCTTATAATTCAGATCTTTGACATTAGTGATCATCCTCTCTTCATTTCCATCATTAGGTCAGAAGTGGGGATTTTCACTGATGATTGCACAATGTTCAGCATCACTTGTAACTCCTCAGATGCTGAAGCAGTTTGTGTTCAAATGCAACAAGGTCTGGACAATATTCAGGCTTGGGCTGACAAGTGGAAAGTAAACTTCAAATCACACAAATACCAGACTATGACCATTTCCAATTACAGATGATCTAATGGTGTTACCATGACTATATGTCCCACTATCAACATCCATGAGGTTACCATTGACCAGAAGCTTGCTGGACTTGCCACATAAATGCAGTGGATACAAGAGCAGATCAATGACTAGGAAAGTGCAGCAAGTAACTCACCTCCTGACTCCCCAAAACCTTTCCACCATTTATAAGGCACAAGTCAGGAATATGATAGAATATTCCACACTTGCCAGAGTTGGTGCAGCTCCAACTAAATAAAAGAAACTCGACACCATCCAGGACAAAGCAGCCTGTTTAATTAGTACACATCCACAAGCATCCACTCCTTCCACCACTAATGCTCAGCAGCAGCAGTGAGTACCACAGCACCTTCTGAACACACAACCACTTCCACTGAGATGGACAAGGGCAGCAGATACATGAGAACACCACCGACTACAAGTTTTCCTCCAAACCACTCACCATCCTGACTTGGAAATATATTGTTGTTCCTTCACTGTTGCTGGGTCAAAATCCTGGAATTCCCTCCATAAGGGCATTGTGGGTCTACCTACAGCATGTGGACTGCAGCGGTTCAAGAAGACAGCTCACCACCACCTTCTAAAAGGCAACTAGGAATGGGCTATAAATGCTGGTTGGTCAGCAATGTCACACCCCACAAGTGAACTAATTAAAAAATTCTCTAATTTTCAGCCTCCAGGAGTGTGAACGCTGGCACTGTTTCACCGAGAGATGTGGTGGAACAAATTGTAGGCAGGAGGCAAGTTAAAGACAAATAGCAAACCAGGCTTTCTGGATCTCCCATTGTGAATGCAGTGGATAGTCATAACACTGATACCATCCAGGACAAAACAGCCCACTTAATTGGTACACATCCACAAGCATCCACTCCTTCCACCACTGATGCTCAGTAGCAGCAGTGTGCACCATCTACAAGATGCACTGCAGAAATTCATGGTGCATTATATCAACAGGATATGGGTCAATGTTGTAGATTTTTCACACAGCAAGTCACTGATCTCAATCAAGTTATCAATACAGGCAGACTGCATCAACAGCAAACAACTGTTACTGGCTCTTCACAAAGCCTGAGAATCAGACTCCACTGCTACAATCCCCAATGAAATCAACAGAGCTCTCGGAATAAGCCATGATTCTCTCTTGTTCTCCCCTCTCAAATGGAGAATAGTAGTATCTGGTTTAGACTATATCAAAAGGAGGTGGGTGCAGGATTGGGGTTTGTGCTGAGTAATTTTTCTCATTACTGAAAACTAATTCTAAAGATAACACAAAGTTTGTCAAAGTTTGTTGGCTGGGTGTGTGCAGCTTCAAAACTAATTGAGATGCTTGTCACCATCCAGGGCAAAACAGCCCACTTGACTGGTACTATATCCACCGACATTCACTTTCTTCTCCATCAACCAGTACCATCAGAAATTCACCGAGTTGCTTAGGCAGCACCTTCTATACCCATGACCAATATTATTTAGAAGGACAAGGGCAGCAGATACACTGGAACACCACCACCTGCAAGCTCCCTTGCAAGCCACTCACCATCCTGACTTAGAAATATATCTTCATTCTTTCAATGTTACTGGATCAAAATCCTGGAAATCCCTTCCCAAAAGCATTGTTGTGACTATGGAAATAGACTACAGCTGTTCAAGAAGGCGGCTCATCACTACCTTCTCCAGGACAGCTAGGGATGGACAATAAATGCTGGCCCAGCAGATGGTGCCCACAGCCCATAAATGAAGAAAACACCACATCTACAAATATACGCTCTCTACCGCTAATCAGTGCGTACCATCTGAAAAATGCACTGCAAAAATTCACAAAGACTTCTTAGACAGCTCTTCTCAAACCCACATAACACTACCACCTAGACAGACAAGGGCAGCAGTTACTTGGAGATACATCACTTGCAAGTCATCCCTGAAAACTACTCACCACACTGACTTGGAAATACATTGCCACTCTATAATTGACAATGGGTCAAAATCTCCCTAATGTCACAAAATAGATTATAGCATTGAAAAAGGCAGTTCCCACCACCTTCTTAGGGGCAATTAGGGATGGGTAATAAATGTTGGCCCAGCCATCAATGTCCACCTCCCATGAAAGAATTCTTTTTACAAAGAAATTATTTACGGCTAACTAAAGAAATCATAATATAACGCTTCCCATTCAACATCAGTGTAACAGAAGATTAATAATCTGTAGTTCCACTGAATACAAAAGACTCTAGAATTGAACATTACAGCATTTTCATTTCAGGCTGAAAGTGATGGCCATCAAGTAAAAACAAAACTCAAATTGACACCGGTGTGTGTTGTAAATATACAGTCAAACACAGCAGTGCACAATAACCACCTAATAAATATTAATTGCCAGATTAGTTGGGCAGTGATGTATAAAAGCAGTGCATATTGGAAAATGACTGAGCAACGCACTTTAATTTCAGCCTATTTCTTTTAATGGACAGTGGAAGAATTGTTTTTGATGTGTTTAGCTTTCAGTTTGCAAATTGTATCATGTCATTCACTTTGTAAATATGTTTGAACCTTTCTAAATTCAGCTTTAATGTAACAGATGAAGAAAAATCTCATGTGTGCATGGTATATATGTATTGATTTCCACTTACTTTGAACAGATTAGGTTAACTTGGTCCACAAAACCAGTTATCTTAAACTCAATGATTTGCTCACTGTCAATAGTGTTGAAGTGAAATTTCCTTTTCTTCCCTTGAACACTACTTCTGTTTTCTTTAATTGCAATGGCAAAAGGACCTGTGAAAGAAAGGGTTTTAGAATTAATGGAAACAGCCTGAACAAATCATCAAAGTATGTCATAGCAGATGATAACACTCCACATCAGAAAAAGATGCATAAATTTCTCTTCTCATAGAATTCCAGCCACCATAGTATAACCTTGTCCTGCATTGTGAAATCTCATTCTGTCAAGAACTGGGACATAGAAATTGCTGGACAAATGAATAACACTGTTCATTCCGTCATTACAGTCGGAAAACTATTTCATATACTTGCAATTTACACATTGAAATATTTGCACAGGTCACAGCCATTCACTTAAGGCCATTGGAACATGATAAGATGGGCAACAATGAAAGGGAAGCAGAAAGTTTTTCACTGGATATGAAAACATCTCCCTTCACAGGACCCTGTTCCTTACAGATAAAAAGATCATGTGCACATATTGTGCCTGTTTCAACTGAACAGAAAAAATTAAACAAAGCTTGGCAGTCAACTTTCAGTCATCTAACTGGAACATTCTCCATGATATTGATCCTACCAATCTGAGTCTACTTGCCAACCAAATCAGCACACTCTTCTTTTACATTTTAAGTAGGTTGCTTCACCTTATATTGATATTCTTGTGAATTGTCCTGATGAGTACAAGATGAAATGCTTCAACAAAATTTGTTTTTCTGTTTCTGTACTACCAAACAGCTATTTAAAAACATATAGCTAGGCTTCATCTAGCGTCTTGTGTTCAATTCTAGGCACCACATTTTAGGAGATTAGGCAGAAGAGATTTAACAGGATAGAATGTTAACACTTCAATAATGTGGAGAAACTGGAAAAGCTGATATTGTTCTCCTTTGAACGGAGACGCCAAAGGCAAAATTTAATCAAAGAACTCAAATTACATATATTTTGTTCAGTAAATAGGGAGGAACTGATTCCACAGGAATATTTGTCAGTAACAAGAAATGCATTTAAGATAATTGGCAAATTATCCAGAGGAGGAATAGGGAAAATCTGTTTCTCACAATGCATGGTTATAAAATGGAATCCTTAAATGGTCGTGGAAGCAGATTCAATAGTACATTTCATTAGAAAATGTGATATACACTTAAAGAGGAGATCCTTGCAGGACTATAGTAAAGGTGCCAGAGAATTGAATAAATTAGAAGGCTTTTCAAAAAGCAAGAATAAATTGAGCTGACCAATTGGCCTCCTTTTCTGTTTTATGATTTTATGAGACATTGCTGTCATCACAGATGAAGCAATGTGGATAATTGTACAATAGTTCAAACACAACATGTAACAATGGCCATTAGACAGCATAGCTGAGGTTTATACCCAAATGAGGGTTTACTGTTGCTCAGGGAGAAAATTCTCAATTGAAGACCTATTGAATGCCGCAGGCACACCTTAAATTTAGAATCATAATGTCATAGAATGATCATAGCACAAAATGAGACAATCCTGTCTATTGTATCTAGATAATCTCAATTCAAGAACAATTCAGCTTGTCCCAGTTGTTACAACACACAGGTAGCTAAATCTCCCTATCCCTATATTCACAACACTGTAAAATTAAAACAACCAAATTCCCTCAAAATAGACCCCAATGGTTCCTAACCAGAATTTTGAATCACCAGTACCAGATTTTGTGACTGCGGATGCTGTAAATCAGGAACAAAAAAACAGAAACAAAAACAAAATTGCTGGAAGAGCTCAGCAGGTTTGGCAGTATCTGTGAAGGAGAAAAC